CCATGTTTGTCGACACGCGCCGGCTCCTCGCCGCCTTGCCGCCGACGGACGTCGCGCGCCTTCGGACGCTCAAGATGACGGCGACGACGGCGGCCAACGTCATGTACGGCTCGGCGACGCTGACGCACCACATGGACCTCGTGTGCCAGCACCCGGTCGACGGCCAGGAGATCCTTCGCTTCCACGAGCCGTGGGACGCCGACAAGACCAACCTCCAGCCGACACAGATTGCGATCCGCAGCAAGAACGAGGCGGCGACCGAGGCCGACCACGCGATCGAGCAAGCGTGGGTCTTCGAGAAGCTCGTGCCACTCCTCTACAGCGACGAGTTCAAGTACGCGCACGAGTGGCAAGCCGGCGACTACGTGCTCTCGGACAACTATGCGCAGCTGCACAGCCGGACGCCCGTGCCGAAAGCAGGCCGGGAGATCCGCCGCATCCACCTCAACTAGAGGTTGTCGTGTGCGACCTAACTTATTTGTGTACTCTAATAATGACAATTCTTTCTTTGTATGACACGACAACAGTCTTGCATGCGCTGGATGACAACATGTTGCGACCCGAGACATATGAATACAGAAATACATCGTCGTAGGAGTGATCATAAACCATCGTAGGAATGATCCAGTTTCGAGTTTATGACTCGCTCTCACTGTCGTCTGTGAGCTCATGGCGGTCTTCGCCGTAGCACAAGTCTTGGACCATAAAGAGGCAGTTGTCAAGACGCATCTGTTTGCGCTGGCGCTGAATCGCAAGCAGCTGGAGCGGTGCACCGACCGTGAAGGGTCCGTGGTCGTCGTCGCAATCGTCGTCGTCGTCGTCACTCGTGTCGTCGAGAATCGGCGCGGGACGAAGCGTCGAGCACAGGTCGTCGTGGTAGGCGAGCCAGTCGGGTTGGCCTTGTGCCGTCATTGTCATTGTCATTGGCGTCGCACCGTCACGGTTCGTGTCTTTATCTTGCTCGTCTTTGTCATTGACTAGAGAAGCAACTTTGGCCATGCACGGCCGGCACGCGCCGCGCTTCGTGTCGGGCGTCCCGTCGCAGGCCTTGCAGATGTTTTCGAGGCAGAGCCCGCACTTGCGGCGGTGGTCGACAGCGTTGAAGCAGAGCACTTCCGTGCAAAACTCAATGCCGTCGGACGGCACGACCGGCGTCGGCGCCACGTACGAAGCAAAGCGCCAGTGCACGACGCTCTGCGTGAGCTTTTGCAAGAGCGTGCGTCCGAGCACCTCGAAGCGGGCGGCGTGCTTGGTCGGAAGCGCGCCCACGAGAAGGAGCCGCGTCGCGTTCGCTTTGATTGGTACGAGCGCGAGGCCAAAGACGGTCGGCGTCAACTGCCGGGGCAATGCAAACACGGGTGTCTGCGCCTGCAACAGCACCTGGATGTCGGACGCCAGCGTCGCGCTCGTCACGTACATGGCGTTCTCACCACGGCTGGCCTCGATCTGCGTCGTGTGCCGAAGAAAGAACGTGGGTTCGCGCAGCCCGACGGCCGAGAGGAGGTCCCACTGCACGGACGCCGAGTGCAGTTCAAACGCGTGCTGCCGCCCGACGGCCCACGTGTGGTGCGATATCGGGGCAGAAACGCCAAGCAGCGTCTCGTCAAAGTGCACAGTCGCGTGAATGAGCTCGGCCAACGGACTCTCAACGGTCTGCTCGAGGAGCACGTGGCAGTGCCGGTCGTCGGCGTGCTTGAAGCTGTAGATGCTCGCGGTCTCGTTGCGACTCGTACTCTCGCGGGGCTTGCGCAAATGCGCTTGCGCCCAGTTGGCGACGCGCAAGGTGGTCGAGAGACCAAAGGGCACGAGCGCGGTCGCGAGGGCATCCGACGCGGCGTTGGTCTGGAGGTGCTTGTTGAGGTTCATAGCGTTCAGTAGTGGTGTCGTAAAATGCAAAGCCCGTTGTGGCTTTTCCCGGGACGGCCAGGGGTGCAGGACTGGGAAAGGCGGTAGGAAGGAAAAGGGATGGCTGTAGCCTTTACGGGGAGGAAGCGTGGGGCGCGAAGTCTGTTGCGAGAGGATGAAGGGGAATCGTGGCTGAGAGACTAGTCAAAGCCGTTTGTTTGCGCGAAACCATGCACAGTAGATTCAAACCATACAACAAAGATGGACGCGAAGGGTCATTGCAAGACGTAAGTGAGCTCAGATGGGACCATAGCTACACCACATAATGCACTGCAGGCCAGCACCGGTCCAAGCATCCGAGTCGCAGCGAGACGTAGGCATTCAACGTCTTCCAGGATCGCGTCTTCCGCGTGGATAGCCATCGAGGACGTCAACGACGTCAGCGAAACCATTGGCGAGTGCAATCGTGCGGGGCGTCCGATGGTGCTGTACGGGTGCCGCTGTGAGTCTGTGCGCGTACAAGTATGGTGCCGTACATGGTCCATTTGGTCCTTGTCGGCGTTGAATTGCAGGAGTAACTCGGTCACGCGCGGGTGGTTGTGGTGAGCCGCACGGTGCAAGGCGGAGCACCCACCCTAGCATGGTGATGAGTCATCTTGGCTTTTCTTTCGAGTGGTGGACGTCGCCAGGGTGGTTGACGTTGGCGTAGGCATCGATGAGCAGCTGCACGGCGCAGGCTTGGCCGCCCCACGACGCCCACTGCAGCGGGGTGTTGCCAAACTAAACAAAAGTATCAAGTTGATACTTTTGTAAGGAAGGGTACCCTGTTTTCGCTGTCGACGGTCGCGCCATGCTCGAGAAGGAGTCGCAGAACGGCCTCGTGGCCTTCCCAGGCCGCCCAGTGCAGTGGCGTGTTGTTGTCCTGTCGCACACGGGCGCCGCTACAGGTCGTATCCGGACTCTATCCACAGTACCTCCATGCGCACGTCCGGGTGTAAACCGCTGCTGAGCAGCGCGCCGACGCGGTCTGTCTCGCCCTTCTTTGCCGCGTCGTAGAGTGCGCATGGATCCTGCTTGCACATAGGGCACGAAGTCGCCAAGGATGTGTATGCGGTACCCCGGGGTGCTGGTCGAGGAGGCGAAGAATACTAGCATGCCCTCTCTCGCGTGCCAGAGCGTACGGCGGGAGGCCCGCCTACGCGCAATGTTAGACGCTGGTATGAACATGCAGGAGCGTGCATGGTTGCGCTGGTTCACATCGGCCTCGCGATCGAGGAGAAGGCGCACAACTGCGGCTCGGTCTTCCCGCGCTGCAAAGTGCAGTGGCGTGTCGCCATCCTACTCGATTGCAGCAAGAAGGAAGACAACGACGATCCGCGTACGTTGTTTTGTCGGCCAATGTTGGCACCTGCGTCCAGCAGAAAGATCGCTGCTTGGACGCGACCGCCCCACGCCGCCCAATGCAGCGGTGTGTTGCCAAACTAGCACCATGGTAGCCTACGGTCCAGAGGTGCAATCTCGTACGGTGTTCACAATGTCGACGCTGGCGCCATGGCGGAGGAGAAGCTCGATGACGCTGCCGTGGCCCTCGTATGCTGCCCAGTGCAGCGCCGCGTCGCCTTCCTACAGTCCGATGAGCCATGACCGACGCAAGTCGACGACGTTGAAGCGGCGGTTCGGGTCAATGCCTTCTGCCAGAAGCGTGCGCACGCCCAAAAGATCGCCGCGCTTGGCAGCATCGTAGAGCTATGTGGGAGCGCATGAGCCCAAGGCGCTGCACGGCCAATGTACTACGTCGCTCATCTGCCTGCTGAGCTGTTTGCTGTTCGATTGTGTTGGCACGTCTGAACACTCGCAACACTATTCCGGTTGGATACAATAGTGTGAGCACCAATAACGCCAAGAAGACCTGCTTAGCTTGGCAGCTGTGCGTACGCAGCCAAGCCTCTTCCAATAAGGTAGAGCAAGCGCTTCTGGCTAGCTCTTCTGGCTGCTTGTAGCGGGACCTCAAGCACTCCGCTTGCTCGGTCGCCCAAATCATACACTATATTCGGATACTGGATGGACCAATCACAGGAGGCAGGCCGCATCTTTGACGACACTCGCACCGCCAAGCTCTCGCCTGCATTCCCTTCAACTCCTGCGCAAGTTGTCGTTGTACACATACAACAGGATCACATCCGGTGGTACGTCCAAATGTTGCTTGTCCCGCGGGCGTTTAACATTTCCTATTGGGTGGCGAGCGATGTGCTTCACCCCAATCTCGTTGGATAACGACAAATCCGTCGTCGTCTTCGGCCTCCGATCCGAGTAAAAGGAGTCAACAGGTGTCATCTTGCAGTGTTTTCTTACGCGACAGAATCGAATGATGCCCAAATGCGTATTCTTCTGCAGTCGACTCACATCTAGGTACCCAGGACGATCGTGAGTTGTTTTGGCCGCGACGCCATTCATGTTGTTCAGTGCTGCGTCTAGTCTCCATCTTCCCACGCTTCCTCCTCGTAAAGGCTACAGCCATCCCTTTTCCTTCCTACCGCCTTACCCAGTCCTGCACCCCTGGCCGTCCCGGGAAAAGCCACAACGGGCTTTGCATTTTACGACACCACTACTGAACGCTATGAACCTCAACAAGCACCTCCAGACCAACGCCGCGTCGGATGCCCTCGCGACCGCGCTCGTGCCCTTTGGTCTCTCGACCACCTTGCGCGTCGCCAACTGGGCGCAAACGCATTTGCGCAAGCCCCGCGAAAGTACGAGTCGCAACGAGACCGCGAGCATCTACAGCTTCAAGCACGCCGACGACCGGCACTGCCACGTGCTCCTCGAGCAGACCGTCGAGAGTCCGTTGGCCGAGCTCATTCACGCCACTGTGCACTTTGACGAGACGCTGCTCGGCGTCTCGGCCCCGATCGCGCACCACGCGTGGGCCGTCGGACGGCAGCACGCATTTGAACTGCACTCGGCGTCCGTGCAGTGGGACCTCCTCTCGGCCGTCGGGCTGCGCGAACCCACGTTCTTTCTTCGCCACACGACGACGATCGAGGCCAACGCTGGTGACGACGCCATGTACGTGACGAGCGCGACGCTGGCGTCCGACATCCAGGTGCTGTTGCAGGCGCAGACACCCGTGTTTGCATTGCCCCGGCAGTTGACGCCGACCGTCTTTGGCCTCGCGCTCGTACCAATCAAAGCGAACGCGACGCGGCTCCTTCTCGTGGGCGCGCTTCCGACCAAGCACGCCGCCCGCTTCGAGGTGCTCGGGCGCACGCTCTTGCAAAAGCTCACGCAGAGCGTCGTACACTGGCGCTTTGCTTCGTATGTGGCGCCGACGCCGGTCGTGCCGTCCGACGGCATTGAGTTTTGCACGGAAGTGCTCTGCTTCAACGCCGTCGACCACCGCCGCAAGTGCGGGCTCTGCCTCGAAAACATCTGCAAGGCCTGCGACGGGACGCCCGACACGAAGCGCGGTGCGTGCAAGACGTGCATGGCCAAAGTCGCTTCTTTGGTCAATGACAAAGACGAGCAAGGTAAAGACACGGACCGTGGCGGTGCGACGCCAATGGCAATGACAATGACGGCGCAAGGCCAACCCGACTGGCTCGCCTACCACGACGACCTGTGCTCGACGCTTCGTCCCGCGCCGATTCTCGACGACACGAGTGACGACGACGACGACGACGATTGCGACGACGACGACCACGGACCCTTCACGGTCGGTGCACCGCTCCAGCTGCTTGCGATTCAGCGCCAGCGCAAACAGATGCGTCTTGACAACTGCCTCTTTATGGTCCAAGACTTGTGCTACGGCGAAGACCGCCATGAGCTCACAGACGACAGTGAGAGCGAGTCATAAACTCGAAACTGGATCATTCCTACGATGGTTTATGATCACTCCTACGACGATGTATTTCTGTATTCAGATGTCTCGAGTCGCAACATATCATCCAGCGCATGCAAGACGGTCGTCGGAGTCGTTGGTGTCATACATAGATTTGTCATTAGTGTACACAAATAAGTTAGCTCGCACACGACAACCTCTAGTTGACGTGGATGCGGCGGATCTCCCGGCCTGCTTTCGGCACGGGCGTCCGGCTGTGCAGCTGCGCAACGTTGTCTGAGAGCACGTAGTCGCCGGCTTGCCACTCGTGCGCGTACTTGAACTCGTCGCTGTAGAGGAGCGGCACGAGCGTCTCAAAGACCCACGCTTGCTCGATCGCGTGGTCGGCCTCGGTCGCCGCCTCGTTCTTGCTGCGGATCGCAATCTGTGTCGGCTGCAGGTTGGTCTTGTCGGCGTCCCACGGCTCGTGGAAGCGAAGGATCTCCTGGCCGTCGACCGGGTGCTGGCACACGAGGTCCATGTGGTGCGTCAGCGTCGCCGAGCCGTACATGACGTTGGCGGCCGTCGTCGCCGTCATCTTGAGCGTCCGAAGACGCGCGACGTCCGTCGGCGGCAAGGCGGCGAGGAGCCGGCGCGTGTCGACAAACATGGTGCGACCAAACGGTGAGTCTCGCTCGGGGTACGGCGCCAAGCACTGGAAGAACTGGTACAAAGGCACGTCGCCGAGAATGTCGCTGTCTGGAATGCGCTTGAACATGCCGTCGTAGTGGAACGCCATGGGTTCGTGGGACCGCGACGCGAGGCCGGCGGCACCGTCTTGCTTGAGCTCGAGCGTGCTGCCCGTGGGCCACATGAGGATCTCGCCAATGTGCGACGCGACCGTGTCGAGGTCTTCGTCGGTGCGGAAGCCGCGGAGGAGCACGACGCTGTACTTGGTCGCGAGCGTGCGCAAGAGGTGGCGCGGCACGGCCGTGACCGACACCATCTCGTTGTTCTGGCTCGTCAGCGTCACGCCTTGGCGCCACGGCGAGACCGAGATGTTGAGGGTCGCCCACTCGGGGGCCAACTCGACCTTGGCCATGTAGCACCACGGCCGGCCAAACTTGTACTGCAGCTCGTACAGCTCCAAATCAATGTCTTCGTGCTTGGCGGAAAACTCGCGGCCGTGCATATCGGTGACCATGACGCAGTGCCACGGCGTGGTCGGGATCGACCCGTTGGAGCTCTCGAGCTGCGGGATGAGCGCGACGCCGTACTTGGGGCCCGCGTTGTCGTAGGCGTGGATCGAGAGGCGGACCGCGTCCGGGTAGCAGTCGTCGACGAGCGTCGAGAAGGCCATGTTGCGCTGGATCATGAGCTTGGCGGCGGCGCCCGCAGCCTTGTCGATGGCCGAGTTGGACATGCCGACCCACTTGTGCGCGAGGTCCTTGGTGAGGAAGCGCCGGAAGCCGCGGTAGGTGGCAAGGACACCCGCGTCGTCTTTCAGAAGCTTCTTCATGTCAATCTTGTCGCAGTTGTAGCGCTCGAGAAGCTCCTGGTTGGGGTCCTCGGACGTGGTGTAGTGTTCGAGCCGGTCAAACTTGATGTGGCTGTGCTTGGCCGCGACCGCCATGGCCTCGAGCTCGGCCATGTACGCGTCCATCGCATCCGTCGAGACGCCAATGATGTCGTTGAAGATGCGCCCGTCGCTGAAAATGACCATCTGGACGCCGATCGGGTACAATCGCTCAATCTCTTGGCAAAGCGTTTCGAGACGCTCCATCGCGAGCTCTTCGCCGCGGTCCGGAAGCACGCCGAGCGTCTTCTCGGTCGTGTTGGGCGACTTGAACGGAAAGGCCGGGATCACAAACGTGATGGGCTGCTTGGCGTCGATCGCACGGCGTACGATGGCCTCGACCTTGGCGCGGCCCTCGGCGTCAAAGCGGTCCGTGGGCAGCTGGTGCAGCAATGGCGTGAGGCTTTTCAGCACTCGCTGCACGATCATGTCCTGGGTCACGTCGACGCTCGGCGTTGTCGACTTGCAGTTCGTATATCGCGAGGACCGAGACGAGTAGTACATGGTCCGGAGGTTGGTCGTCACCTTGTTGCAGTACTGCAGCATATACGTGAAGCGCTTGTGCAAAGTGACCATGGTGATCGAAAGTGGAAATTGAAATATGAGTTGGTCATCTTGGATCTCGACATGTTGTCTTGCTTTTTTGTCGAGCAAAAGACGTTGATTCCGGCCACCAGCTGGTTGTCACGATAGGGGTCGCATACCGCGAATCCGGTCACAAGAAACGTCTCTCGCCACGTCATGGATCATCACACACAGGAGCTGCGACGCGCAGCCACTATCCAGTGTGTGGTATCCAGAAGCTTGGGTTTTGAATCGGACTCGACTTCGACGGATCGGCGTTCGAATGACAGTGTCTGTCCACAGACGTCCGCCCGGAACACCGTGCACTTGGCCACCACTCTGGACGTTGCTGGCAAGTTCCCGTTGTGGATATATCTCCCTCGCAAGCATCCTTTTTAACTTTTTGGGCACGAGATAATCTCTTGGATAGCTGGGATAATGCGCTGGTAGACTGCTGGCGACACTGTACACGTGCATAAAACGAGGTGGCTCGACCTGCGTTGCATGGACCTGCAACCCACGCCTGTCGAGAGAGATCTCTTTGACGTCGTTCCAACTCGGGAACAGTGATCGCAAGGAATATACGCGTCTTGCCTTTCCGGTTTATAGTTATTCCAGAAAGCGAGTCGAACCGAATCGCTAACATGGAGTGGGATTGTGAAAACAGGCACGGCCCGGACAATGCGGTACGCCGTGAAGCAACACGAGGTCGCCAGCTCTCTTTTTCAACCATGGCGTGTGGTCGACCAACATACTGGTACTAGTGTACTGCTAGTATGTGTTTTCGTCTGAACTGGTGCAAGGTCCAGCCACGTTGACTCCTTACGGTGCGACATGCAACTGCATACTGCTGTCACAGAGCGCCACGTCATGATTCGATGCGTCCTCATACCGTTCCCAACAAATGTGTGTCGCCGCACCTTGGCCTGCTTTAGCGGATAATGAGACCAGTGCCTTAGACCACTAGGGCACTACGAGGGTGCGTCCTTGCCCATCTGTCGGCTGACACAATCCTGTATCGATCGAGTGTGGAACCACTTGACTCTTGGCGCGTATTTGGTGGTACCCGCAGTATAATTGTATGCCCGTGAAGCGGAGAGGATTGCCAACGCTCATATCAATCGATCTTTTTAGTTTTGTGTCCACGCTTGGATGGAAGATATCAGTTGTCTTTGGGCATATGTGTTAAAGCCGGACATACCCCACAAGAGACTTCATCAGCGGTGTCGTCTATTATTTACTAAGATATAAGCTACATCACACGCTGCCCATCGTCCAAGAAGCCGTCCCACTGTGATACTTGAGCAACTACGTAACTCTCTAAATGAATCATACCATGTACTAGTATTGTAATCGGTCCTCTACACAACTCCATTGATAGATAGATACATGTAGATGGATGGATAGATCGAAGAAATCCCATAAAATATCATTCACGCATCATTACTCGGTAGTGTCCTCGAACGAGGCTTCTTTACTTCTTGGGCGGGTGGCGGATGTGGCCCTTGAGAAGGTTCTTGCGCGCGTCGCCGTGATGCTTGACGTAGACCGTGTAGACCGAGTCGATGCGCGCGTGGTGCTTGACGTGGTCGCCAGCATACCACTCGTGGTGAATGATCGAGTACGCCCACGTCACAAAGAGGAACGTGACAAGGAGGATCGTCGGGTCTTGCTCCCAGAGCAAAAAGTGGTTGACAATCACGATCGCCCCGGGTCCGCCGAGCTCGATCGCCAAGTCGCGCGGGTCGAAATCAAGTTGGACGACGCGGTCGACTTGACCGTGCAGTGGTGCATCACGTGGATCTCGGGCCACGCCTCGTGGAGGAACATGTGGCCGACGTAGAAGAGCACCTCGACGATCGCAATGTTGGTCGTGATCCCGAAGAGCGTGTAGCGCGTGTACGTTGACGGCGAGAAGAGGGCTTCGAGCGACCCGGCGGGCGCGAGGTTCTGGATCACCACGACGTTCATGACCTCTCCGAGCACGATCGCAAATGCCATCGCACTCAGCACGGTCCAGTCGGAGAAGCCGTTGTGGCGCAGCGTGCGCACGTTCTCCCCAAAGCTGTTGGACGCAAAGCCGTCGACGACGGCGCTTCCGACAGCGAGGATCGAGCCGATGATGGCACCGATGGAGCCGTACCAGTTGATGAGGATGAACGCGTTGAAGGCAAAGAGCATCTGCGCCATGGCAAAGTACGGGAGGCCGTTCAAAAACGCGAGCGGGCCGGGCGTGTCGGGGCTGCGGATGATGCAGTCGAACGGCCCCGACGTGATGATCATCGGCGCTTCGGGCGTCGGCTTCAAGATAGCCGCAGATGCTTCGGGTGTCGCCTGCATTTTGAAAAGTGAGTGGAGCGAGTGCTTCTTGACGGCAACGACGACGACAACCACGCAGATTGCTAATTTCCTGTCTATCGCGGTCAGGTGGATGCGTCCCACCCTCGCCTGGTTCGCGTGGGACTCGTCTGGTCGCCTGTATGTTTTGGACTGGTCTTGTACGCAATGCATTGCAGCGCGTTAACGTTATCAGAACAATCAGGACATCACCATCGTCGTCCCGCCGACGTGGTGTCAATGTTGCGAATTTGCTGGTTGCCGACAAGGAAAACAAGACAATCACCGCAGATGATGACCCTGAGGCCGTGACAAGAACGCATACCGCATACGCGTGGGTGGCCGCGACCGGTCGCCGCCAACGGTTGTTCAAGCATCGTCCACCGAACTCGGGTGCGACGAACGTAATGTGAGGAGTGGGACGCGCCTGTTTTTCGAGCAACGCCAGCGTGGCTTCCTATAAGCGTGTACCACGCTTCGTCGACGTAGTGGGTGCAAGTGGAACGTGCGGCCATGGGACGTCGCGCGACGAAGTCCTGTACTAGTAGTAGGCTTGAGTGTCTGACTTTGATGTTGGCGACCACCGGCGATGTCGACACTTTTCGAGTACTCGACGATATACAGTAGGAGGACCTCATCGTACCGAGTCGGGACTGCGCTCGCCTACAACCTGTGCACAGCTGCGTCTTGAGTAGCTCGCATGTACTACGTAGTAGAAGCTTGCAGAGGAGGGCTCAAGAGGGCGAACGGTAGGTTGACCGCGGGTAGAAAGATGCAAGATGCGAGCTGCGAACGAGCCGAAATTGAAGTAGCCTGAAAAGCAATACTACCAGTACACGGTGCTATCGACTGCCCGAGACAGGACCCATGGCATACCAGCACGACGCAACAACCCGTTTGTACTTCGCTTCCCCGTCGCTCCTCGTTTTGCGAGGTCGCCATGTGACGATGCGCTGGAACGGATGGCTGTCGCGTCGTCGTCATCGTCGAGAAACGGAGCGCCGTCATTTTTGGCCGCACCGTGCATACAGTACTAGGTACCTGGATACGCTTTGATCGTGAAAGAGCAGCAGAGGAGGATCGGCGCGATTGCAAATTCTTTGCGGCGCGTCAGCTGTGTGCATCGATGTGTTCGCTGCAGGTGCCCCGACGCATTCAAGCATTCCGGTCAGGAATGGATGGACGTGAGCCTCCCAAAGGCATGAAGAGTGGCCGTGTCGCGAGCAAGCAAACATAAACGGCATTGCATCAAACTCTTGACGTCAACCGATGAATACACTAAGAGTCCTTGTGTGCAGCCCCACCGACGACACTACCGGTATCCGCGAACGTCATCTGTCGTGAAAGATCCATCCGGCTGCAACAACATATGTTTACAAACGGCAAAGCAGGCAAGATCGAGTGCTACTACCGGTGTACCGTCATGCTCAGCCGTGCTACCAGTACAGCGGTAGTCGTGCTGTTACTACAGTGTACGTTTCTTGTACGGGTGTTGTCATCATATAGGCCAACAGCGCCGTGGTCTGGATCCGTGGCCACGACGGCTACGGTCGGCGGCGAGCAAGGCAAGGCACAGCGGCGAGGACGCCTGTGCTACGTACACAGAGACGTACATCACTACTGCGCGCTACTCTGCGCGCTGTTGTTGGGTAGCGAGGGCGATATATTACAGTGTATGGACGTCAAATAGGACGACACTGAGACAGGCAGCGAATGGCAACGACCTCACGAAGAGCGGTGCGCCTGTCGTCCATGCAAAAAACTGGTTCAGCGAAGTCCTAGCCCTCGGCAGCTCCCTTCGGTGTGTGCCCGGATGCGCACTTCTGCGCGTATAGATGTGCGTTCATCTCTGAGATTCCAAAACGACGCAGTGCTTCGCTGCGTTTGTTTGGATATCGCCCTCTGTGTTCTCCCGACCCTGTAGACGGGCAGAGATTTGTCTATCAAGATTCAGTGGACAGCACTCTGCGTAAAACTACACTGCAGGGCGACAGGACGACCTTACCGGTAATGCCAACGATCGGCGGCGCTGCCAAAAGCAACCCCTGCAACGCCAGCCACGTCTGAAGCGCTCGCTGTCGAGTATCGGCGATTCAGGCTAGGACAGGTGGTCCGCGGCTTCCAGCGTCAGCGTTTTCAAGTACAAAAATAATGGGCCTGAGCCTTTTGCGCCTTCTAGTCGCCATTGCAAGCATCCTTTACACGTTGTCACTTCTTAAGGCCGCTTGCCATGACGACTGTCTCTACGAATCCACCATACCAGCCAGTCTCATCCATACGCGCGCATTCAAGATAGCCGTTCAGACTCAGTCGCAACACGCGAGGTGCAGTAGAAAAGCCAGACCAGTTCAGCGGGCACCGTCACAAGCAACGACGGAGCATGTAGACCCAATGGGGTGCCTCTTTGCCGGTGAAGTGCCACCAGAGTCTCGTTCGTGTCGGTTTGTGGCGCAATAAAGAAAAGCTCCTGCGGACTCGATACAATGAAACGCGACTTGATACGTGAATTTCCAAGCAAACACAGAGCGCTCTGTGATTGGTCCGCGCGTAGATTGCGCTCGATAACCGGTTGGCATCCGGATGCCGTGCATCGAAATCTTACGGTTTCCGCTGTGGCATGCTCTGCCTCGGGACGCTCGATGTGGCCGTGCCATGGGCAGACGCAGTCGTCGAGCAGCGCCAGGTGCGTCTCCGGCGCACCGACCTGCGCAGTCTCGACGCCCACTTTTGGCCCGGCTTTGAGCGCTACTGCCTCACGCAGACGCTCTGGAAGGCGCTCCTTGCCTTTGCGGAGGCGCACGACCTCCTGCTGGACGCCGCCATCGCGCCGTCGGTCGGCGGCGCCTGCATCACGCTCTCGCTGCATTTTGCATCGGCGCTGCCTTCGCACGCCAAGTGGATCAAAGGCCACACGTACGTTCTGCAGCATTTCGAGTCGGCGCTGCGGCAGCCGATACGCGACGTCTCAGCGGCGTTTGCAAAGGCGCTGAGGACCGAGTGCCACGTCCTTGGCTGTCTCCTCCACGACGACCAAGACGGTGGGCCCGATCAGTATACGCTTGCCACGCTTTTTAGGAGCTTGGAGGCGCCGCTCGAAGCCAGCCGGCTTGCGATCCGAGACGGTAGTGCGTACGCCGCCCGTTGCGCGTCGGGGAGCGCACCCCTGCTCACGGACTTGCCCTTCAACATCATGTGGAGCATCTTGCGTCTCCTCAATGCGCAAGAGCTCGCAACGACCGCGATGGTGTGCACGACGCTGCAGCATCTGACGTACGACACCGTGCCCCGCCTCCGGCTGCACCTGTACCCGCACCAAAAGAAAGCGCTCAAGTGGATGCTCTACCGAGAATGCTCCGCCCGGTTCGTTGGCCACTTAGATCTTATAATGCCCTGAACGCTGTAGTAGGGCCCTTCCACACCCGTACCTCGTCGGTGACGTGATCGACCCGGTGTTGCACCGCGTGCATGCGTCGCCGCTGCCGGCCGTCGACATGCGCGGCGGCTTCCTCTGCGACGAACCCGGCCTTGGCAAGACGATCACGATGATTGCACTTTTGCTGCGTACGCAGGGCGCCCGGTCCTGCGTTGCCGCTGTGCCTGCATTGGCCCCCGACCGTGGCTATGGGCTTCGCTCAAGCCAGCCTGCATCCTCGTCGTCATCCTCGCCGCGACGAATCGCCTCAGTTGCGACACTAGTTGTTGTGCCCGACACGCTCGTCGCCCATTGGAGTCACCAGCTGTTTACGCACACGACCAACTTGAGCGTCTACGTGGACGACCAGCGCGACTTGCCACGCGCCGAGGTTCTCACAAACTACGACGTGGTCGTGACGACGTTTGGCCGCATTAGCAGCCACTGGCAGACGCAGCGACCGCTCGCGACCCGTGCGCCGTCTCGGCTCGGGTTTGAGGGCCAATCGGCGTACATCGATGGCACGCTTTCGCGCGGCCTCTCGCCCTTGCTGCAAGTTCACTGGGTGCGCATCATCGTCGACGAAGGCCATAAGCTCGGCGGCCTCAGCATCACGAACGCGATGCAGATGCTGTGTGCGCTCTCGAGCGACAAGCGCTGGATCATGACCGGGACGCCGACGCGGCATGTGGCGCAAACCGACGGGCTCCGGCACCTCCATGGGCTCTTGCGCTTTCTGCGGGATCGACCGTACGGCGCGAACGATGAAAAGCCGTGGCTGCAGGCGATCGCCAAGCCCTTTGAGCGCCGCGCTCGTGTCGGATACCTCCGGCTCCGCCACCTTCTCAACCGCATCATGCTCCGGCACGTCAAGAGCGACGTGACGAGCATTCCAGAGCCATTGCGCACCCGCGTGATTGTACCGCCGTCGGACCTCGAGTACCGCATCTACAATGGCGTCGTTGGCGTCATCCGCGGGAACCTTGTGGTACGACATTATATCTTGAAGACAATCATGTCCCATCTGTACGTTCTTCCATGGGGTTAGGTGACGAAATGGGATCCGTTGACGCCCGGTCCGATGCACAAGGACAGTTTGCTGAACCCTGAAAATCGGTAGTGCTACTAATCATTGACTTATGCAACGATGAACGCCATAGGCGCGACGCGCTCACGGCGCTGGCCAACCTCCGCCTCGCGTCCAGCGGCGGCGGACAAATGGCCGTGCATCTCTCGACCGAGTATTACACCGAGACGATCGACTATTTGAACGAGTTCAAGGTGCCACATGAGCGCCAAGCGCATGTGATTGCCTACATGCACGACGCGCCCAACGGCCTCTGCACGCCGTGCCTCGCCTGCGTCCGTTCGCAGCAGTTTCTCATGGTCGTGCCGTGCGGGCACTTGCTCTGCGCCGACTGCATCGATGCACATGTCTCGAGCACGGGGTTTGAGCGCGACTTTTACACGACCTGTCCCGCGTGCTACACCCCGTTTGACTGGGAAGACTTTCAAAAGCTGCAGCCTGGCTTTGACTACAAGTGGGACGCCCAAGAACCGCCCGAGACAGAAGCAGCGACACTCGCCGCCCACATTTGGTCGAGCAGCAAAGGCCTCTACGTCTTGGCGCGGGTCCAAGCGCTCGTCGCCGACGCAGCGGCCCTGCGTGCCAACCGCTATGCGCCGCCGACGCGGCCGATCAAGGTCATCATCTTTTCCGAGTTTCGAGAACACCTCTTCCGCGTCCGGTACGAGTTCAAGCGCAAAGCGATGCGGACAGCGACGTTTGTCCAAGGCGACGCAATGAAGACGCGGCTCGAGCAGCTCCGGCTGTTTCAGCACGACCCGACTCTGCACGTGCTTTTCCTGACCGAAGTCGGCGCTGTCGGCCTCGACCTGTCGTTTGTGACGCACATTTTCCTCATGGACGAGATCTGGGACAAGAGCGTCGAGCAGCAGGTGATTGCACGCGCGCACCGCATGGGTGCGACGGGACCGGTCGTCGTCGAGCAGCTCGAGATGCGCGGGTCCATGGAGACACTCGTGCGCCAGTCCTATGCGAGCCACGCAAAAGATGCGAGCTCGGTGCGCGGCGCCCCGAAAACAGCGCTGCATACGAAAAAGAAGGCGTCGACAGCCGCCTCTGCCGCTGCGTCCGAGCGCACCGGGGCGTCGCGCATCGGCTACGTGCTCAGCAACGTGCGCCAGATCGAAGCGGGTGCTTGCAACGAGGCCATCGTGGCACCTGCCGAGCCACGGCCGCCGCCGACCCTTCTCGCATTGCCTCGATCCGACATGGACGGTGCGACATCTACGGAGACGCCGCCGCGCCCGACAAAGCAGCGCAAGACAGTTCGGTTTGAGGACGAGGGGTAGGGTTTTGTCAAAACGGGGTAGGGTTGCTTCTTGTAATCAGAATTGGACAGTTGATATGTACGATATGGACCTCGGGCCACTACGGTCCACAGCACCACGACGGCAAGGAACTAATAGAGTCCTGTGTGTACAGGTCGCGTGTGTCCTGTAGAGTAGTACCATAACGTACTATAGTGTATGAAACAACAGGGCGTTAAATGCGTGAGGTCGGATCGCAAGACCAGCAGCGGTGGAGGCAAGACACGGAACGCGTTATAATTACAGGGCGACATGCTTCGGTCGCATGCGCATCTTGTTCCTTTTCGACATATTAGAGCTTTTTGAACCACGCAATGACACTCTGTACAAATGATGGATCCTTCTCGAGCGACTAGACATGGGTTTTATCTACCATTCGGCAAGTCTTAGCAGAAACGACGTACCACCGAGTAGGTCCGACTGCGCGTCCGCACGGGCTCGGACGCTTCTTTCGACGACGCTGATGTGGGGATGCTGGCCTCGAGCACAATGTGGTAGATCGAGCTGCCGACATCGTCATGGCGGGCGCGCTCCTCGGCCTCTTCGAGCGCAGTCCAGCCTCGCTACCAACGACCATATGAGCAACGAACGTGCAGCACATACCCAGCCGTACACGATTGACAATGGCCGTCGATGCGAGTTCGTTCAGCAGCAGTTGGACGATGCGGACGTTGGCGTGACGGCAGGCCAAGTGCAGCGGCGTATCGCCATACTATGAGGATCACTTTTTGAGACACGACGACGACATCGCGTTGAAGATGTGTACCTTGTCCATCGAGTTGATGTGGGCGCCGGCTTGAATGAGCAGCGTCACGATGTGTGTGTGGCTGTGCATGCACGCAACATGCAGCGGCAGGTCGCCGCCTGGCGTTGCGAGGTTGGCGTCCTGCTTGGCGTTTTGCAGCATCGCGCGGACTTCGTCCACGTCGCCGACAGCAATCGCGCTGCAGAGGTCGGGAAAGCCCTCCTGCGTCAATCTTGTGAGCGCCGCAGACAGGGCAGGGTGTATGATGCGTGGTGTACCAGTGTCTTGGACAGCTGCGGCGTCTGAAACGCAAGGTAGTCGGTGTCGATAGCGCTCGAGCCACGCCGCAGCGTCTCGGCGTCGGGCTTCTTGGGCGGCGTCTTCTTGCCAAAGAAGGCGCCAGGCACCGTTGTCTGCATCGAGCTCGATCGCTTCTTCATCGTCGTGCTGGCTTGTTTCAGTAGGAGCTCGTAAAGGCGAAGGGCTTGGTATGCGGAGTACTCTACACGGTACGTCGCTGTCAATGACGGTGCGGGTGCTAGGCGTCGTACGGCGAGGATCGGCTACGCCACTCGCAGCATCGACCGGTCCGAAGGGGAATGAAGGCTGGCCTCAGTGGCACACGAATATCTTGACCTTTTGTCCCATCTGGGACAAACATGACCATCACTGCGAAGGCACCCAACCCATCTTCTGTAGCACCGTGGCTACGGGGATGGCTACGTTTGAATGAAAGCGCTTGCATAGAAACGAAGCAGGAAGAACGACGCGGCCACTTTATAGAGAATTGCTTTCGGTCGTTGGGTGACGCTTGGTGCTGCATCATGGTGCTGCATCCTGAAGCGGCGGCGGCATTTTGGGACAAACCCAAAAACCCAAAAACCCAGATTGCCGTTGGCGTTCGACCAATGAATTCCACGCTGCGATTCGGCAGCCAAAAATTCGAGCCAATGACGTGGCGGTCCTCACCACAACCCGCAGCAGCCTCGTCGCTGGTCGTCGCCAGTTCCGACGACCGCACGCTTGCTGGCGATGCTGGTTCGCTGAACGAGCTCTCTCTGGAAGGATCCATAAACAGTTTATGTTTATGGACCCAAGCTCTCTGTGAGGCTTCGAATGGGTCCAAGGAACTGAGCTGCGGCGCTTGGCCACACGCCTATCATTTTCATACAATTATCAAGTCTGGCCCTTTTGACAGCTTCAGGGTGATCGAGTCGACCACTCATGAGCAAGTAACCATCATTGACGACAAGAAGATGGCGGACCCTTCTCGCTACAAGTGCAGTGTATGCAGGCGTGAACTAGCGCCAACGCATGACCTCACAGTCTGCAGGTCAAGAAGGCTGGTGGAGAGCTGTGGGGGCGGCACTTGGAGGCAGCGCACTGGCCCGATAAACTTGATGCAAAAGCCTCGACGACGCGCTGTCATGTTGGTATTCCGGCATTTTTCTGGCGACCGATCGCCCCATCATAATGTCGAGAGACAGGTAAGAAAGGGCCAGTACATTCGTCTGACAACCAGAGCTTAGTTCACAAAGTGTATATAGTTTTAGGCATGATGTATTGGCCGTGATTAACGACTGTGGTCATCGTCGTCGCAGTGGGTCTCGGTGTAAAAGTACTCGATGTGGTCATCGCCATGGCCACGTCGTCGTCACAGTCGTCGTCGATCCCGACCTCCAAGTGGACCTCGCCATCGCCACCACACCCGTCGTAGTCGTCGTACTAGTACTGCGGTTGGCCGTAGCCGTCGTAGTGAAGATGCTCTGGGTAGTCGGTGTACTCCGGTTGGTCGTTGTCGTAGCCGTCGTCGTCAAGGTATTCCGGATGATCGTGATGGTTGTTGTCGTGCATCTCGAGGGTCAAGTGGGCGTCATGGCGGTCATCGAGCTCGACGTGTTCGTACGCGTCGTACTGCAGCTCGTAGACGAAGGTATTGTCGTCGGCGAGATACACGTGCGCGTCGGTCGTAGTCCTCGTTGTCGTAGATTGCGACGCCGTTCTCGACGTAGAGGTCGTGCTCGACGACGACCATGGTGGTGGCGTGGCTCTGGTTGCGCACAACCCCCTGGTTTGCACGACCCGTCGTTGGAGCCGCCGTTGCCTGCGTCCGTCTCGCGGCGCAAACGGGCGTCGCAGTGGGCTTGGTGGAGTCGTCGGTGACGCTTTCAACCTTGCTAATGTAGTTCTCAGCATGTTCTCAGCATGATTTCTCAGTAGCATGCCCAAGCAAAAGTTGTGTCAATGAGACTTGATTTGAATGGCTCTTTGGTGCGGTTCTTCGAGCCGTTGTCTACTACAGCGCATGCCAGTACTGGCGACGACCGCGTCATTGGCTGTGCGAGCGACAAAATCGATGCACGTCCACGTTTCATGCCCAACACTTCAAAAATGGATGGCCACAAGACCTCTGGGCATACCGCAACAAAGTCAAGAGCGTCAAGTCCTCTGTCGAAACATCAGTACACATACTAGTCTTGGTAGTGGCAATGCGAACGATACATCGAGCTAGCCGCGAATAGTTCCCTTCAGAGTACGCTGTCGCTTCCGTGGCGAAGGCGCCGGGTCGTGCGGACGTACGGGCGCTTGTGCGACGAGGATGCCGAGCCACGAGACCATCTTTTGGTCCTTCTCGCGTTGGTGCTTGACTTGAAGGGCCTCCATGAGATCTGCGTAGCTCTCAACACCGCCCTTTCGCTTACTGATCACCCACGTCGATCCGATTTTACTCAGCTTGAGGCAGCTCGGATGGGTGGCAACAATCCGAGCAATGACAACGCACTTGCCGGACGGCTTGTCCTCGTCCATCGTCGTTAGGCACCTGTCCAAGAGAAAGTCGCGAAAGCGACTGCACGCCGTGCAGTGCGTAGAGTTGACGAAAATGTCAGGGAGGCTAAAATCTGCAAGGTCGGGAAGAGGCGCTCGGACCCATGCGGCCTCGAACGTTGCCAGGCATTTGGCCGCCACGAGCGCCGTCACGGGCACGAGCTTCTGTCCTGCGAGCGCGTGGATGGCGGGCAGCAGCAGCGATTGGTTGGCCTCGATCGTACACGGCACCGCGCGCAGCCACGACGCTGCAAACCCATCGATGTG